AAGAGAATTTGAAGGGAAAGCCCTTTCAAAGAACCTGGCTTAGTAGAGGTTCACATGATGTAGCAAAACTGAGGAATCAAATTTTTTTCTTCCCAGTTTGCCAATCTGGGACCCAGCTTTCTATATTTAAAAAAAAAAAAAAAAAAGAAAAGAAAAGAAAAAAAAAAAAATCACCATAAAAAAACCCCCTCAGCTGCAATGATGCTGCGGTCAGACCTCTTTCACTGTTCCAGTAGAGAGGAGAAAGGAATCATGATGGCAGCTCTGTGCCTGTGGAAGATTCATTCTGCAGGTGGGCACGTGTCTGTCTGCTTAACATGATTTAGAATCGTACTCTTAGCCTACATTTGGATCCTCTTAAGACTTGTTTTTGTTAGACTGAGTATCTTGGCTGATCTCTGTTGCTGTGACGTGACAAGAGAAGAGGAGGTATCAGAATCACACTGTGCTGATCTAGACCGCCTTACTTCTATGCTCAGATTCCAAGTTCTTTGGAAGTCATTACACAACAACAGGTACAATGTGCTGGTTGTGAGAAACTTAAACAGCTGAATTTTGAACAAAGTTAATTCCAAACCTTTTCATGAAGTAATAGTCATCTTGATGATGTCCTTACTTGAAAATAATTTATATCACTCTCTTGGACAAGGATAGGTAGCAATAGGAGACATTTGTAGTGGTACTTGGACATCCTGAAGAATGTCCCTAAGCTGTGAATGTAAATAGCAGATTGCAGGTCAAGTCCAAAAAGAGACAGCACATCAATTTCACTTTCTTCTGGTTATTTTCTCAGTCTACTAGCATTACTTAAGTCATAGCTAAATGAAATTACTGCCACGTCACGTCAGATCCACTTTTGATACAGGACTGGGTTAATTTGCACTTGCACTAGGGGGTTCTGATAAAACAGAGAAATAGACCTGGCTTATCAGGAACTTCAGTGAGAGCTGCTACCTGCTGATCTCTTTCATAAACAGAATAGAACTGATGGGAGGCTTGCTTCTTTATGGAGCAACAGAGTTTAAAAAGTAAATTAAACACTCCTCAGTATCTCCTGTAAGAATTTAACTGAGTTGCCAGGAAAGATTAAATTAGTTTTTGGCATAAGATATTTCTTCTTTAAAATGTTGGATTGCTTAATATAATACAAATAAGCAAATGGAATGTATTTGGGCATTAGCATTTGCTAGTTTTGTGCTGTTCTTCTGTTGTGTACAAAACACAGCAGACTGGTACTTTGTGTTGCAAAGGTCGTGTTTTAATATTCCTAAATTACAGCTTGATACTTGAAAAGATTATTTGTTAAAAAATAGTGCTATCAAGTACGACTTTCTGTTAAGGGAGTTGTGCCTTATCTTTGGGGTTAACTGAATATCAAGTGTTTATGTCAGTTCATGAAGACTGGGTTGTGATGTCACCTTCAAGTTATCAGCTCTTGTTTCGGTTCACTGTCTCAGGGCAGTGACTGATAACAAAAGGCATAATTCAAGGCCTTACTCACTTTCTCCTCACCCTTCTTGTGGGGGGCCAGGGATGGAAAACTACACTTATGTACAGGAATTCTTTGTCCGGCATTTCTGCCCTATAAATTTCATGCTTTCATTATAAAGTGAAGGATCAGCCCTGCTATGGAAAAAGGGGCAAAAATGATGCTGTATTTAAAAAGGTTTACTTTGGAGGAAAAAAGATAAAGAGAAAAGAAGGTTGCCTATTTTAAACTGTTGAGTAGAGTTTTTTAATAATTAAAATAATATAAGTACCCTTTTATCCTGAGGGTGTGTTTCAATTGTCAGCTTATATTTTATTTCAGCCAAGCAGGCTTTGTTTTATATACATCTTCTGATTTTTGCAATTGTTATGTCTTCTTTGCATCTTTCTTTAAATTGATTTTCTGTGTTTTTAACCCCTTTCAAAACTCCTTCGGTGGAAATCTTTGTCTAGTTGCCCTACCAATTAGTACCAAGATATAAGTGGAGACTTTCCACTGCTCCTTTCTGTCGTAGCTTCTGGGTCATTATTTGCCCTAACTGTTGATTCTTTTATTAGCTTGACTTTCCAACCACTTTAATAATGTGATTATCACCAACCTCACAGCTTGCTTCAGGCTTAGTGTTAGTGAGATGGATTCAGCTAGCCTGAGGATTATGCTCTGTAAGATCTGTTTGTAGCAAAAATTACCATTTCTGGCTTTTGAACACTGAACTATGAAAGAGAAACAAATTATATGGCTTTGGATTAAATAAAAGGATGAATGAAACAAAGGAATTGATCTCTTCACAAAGGTGGCTGTTAGTTGTTTCACTTTAGCTGTAAAAGGAAGACCTTTCCTAAATGTCATGCTTTGTGTTCTTGCATGGCACCATTTTGTCACACGTCACTGCATCTGCATGTATTCTTATTAGTTGCATGGAGCTCTATGAGTTTCAGTACAAATGATTTTTTAATTCAGTCTTTCTATAAATTATTAAAGTGCTAGGGATGGCTTTTCCAGGAAGGCTGAACTACAGCATTGATTTTATGCATGCTGGAGGCAGACCCTAGATGTTTCGGCCCCAAGTGCACCTGCTGTGGTAGTCTACCAGAACATCATACCACACTCTCATGTATTCAAAGCAAAGGAATAAATCATGATTTTACAACAGTGCATCAGTTGACTTATTGCTGTTTTGTGACCGGAGGTAGGAAGGATTGCTGTTTAAAGCCATGTCATTGGTTCTCAAGTCACTCAAGCATGAAAGCTTGTCATATGCCTCTGTAATTGTACCTCACCAGTCTTTCCCTCACTAGTCAGCTGGGGCTGTGCGTTTTGTCTCAAACACCCGGCTGGCCAGTGTCTGACAGGAGCTTTCTCATCATCCTGTCAGTAATATGCTAACTAGAGTGTATCTTCTGTGGCCTACACTGGCAGGTGGAAAGGATGCTACACTTTAAAGCAAATGGTCAAAATGGAGATAACATTTAGACGGTATTTGTTTCAGGTAATACAAGTCTGATGTGTCTGAGAGCATGGTGGTTACAAAGTTGTGCTTCGCACTGGTTGTAGGTTTCTTTGGTGATCCCTGTAAAAACAAACGTATATGTCAATAAAAGAGACTTTTTTTTTTTAGTTTGGGGTTTTTTTTGTGGTGAAGGAGCACTGAATATAAATTTACACACAAACTTATGTTTGTGGATTCACTTTTACTGTTGTTTATATGCAAAGAGAGCTTTTTGCAGTTGCTGTCGGTCGCCATAGTCAGTTGGACTGAGTGGTGGCTTCATGTTCCTTGCCTCGTTAGTCTTGTTCAGGTACAGCCACAGTATCCATGGTTGCTCAGGCACTGGGAAGACCTGGAGGCTCCTTGGAGAAGGTAATACCAGCCACTAGAGAAAGCGGAACACCCTTTACCCTAAACACATTGTCTTTGCGAATCGCTTCACTCCTCCTGCATCCAATCTAAATCCGA